CTTGTGCCCCTGCCGCGAATTTGGTCACCGCGGCCTCGATGAAGAATGCGCAGCACGAGTCCACGTCGTGCCCAGGCGTGATGCGGCAATTCCCTCGGGAAAGTCCGCTAGCAATGGCAGCGGCTGCCTCGGGCGTGGCGCTGAACTCCTGGTCGCACATCGTGAGCTGCTCATCTGGAAGTTGTTCTCGTCGGACCCTGGCTGTGTGACGGGCAGAGCACAGCGAGTTGACCAGGTGATCTGCTGGGGCGCCTACAACAGACATGTACTTGCGAAGCGTCACATTTCGCCTCCCAATCCATCCACCGTCGAACGCTCCACCGATGACGAAGTCCAAAACCCTGGGCACATTGAAACGAACGCACTTTGGTTTCGGCATGCTGCAGATGTAGACTTCCAAGTTCAAGTCGTACACCTCCTTGCATTGAAAAGCGTGTGTCTTGCTGGGTGCGCGCAGCGCCGTGTCTCGCCAAGTCGACTCTCTCGTGGCGACGGCCATGATGAAGCGCCTGCAGTTGTTATCTCCAGGAGCGCCGTTCATGTATAGTGCTTTTGCCAGGCGCTCTCGCGCCCAGAAGCTGTCAGTCCCTCCCACTGAAGAAACCCGCGCGTCCTCGCCGACTGCATCGATGCTCCACCGCCCGCCCAGGTGCAAGAGTTCGCCCGCCCCCGGGTGCGTCAGCACGTCCCCCGCCGCCGCGTGGCGAAGCACAACCTAGCCGCGCTCATCGAGCAAAGGAGGCATCAGCCTCAAACGTGGAAATATGGAGAATATGGAGTAAGCTGCGCGTAGCAACATCATCTTGCAGCAAAAATTGTTGCGGCCCACATCCCCTCCCAACCCTCGCCGCCCCTCTACTCCCAACCCCCGCTATCCCATGATCCCCGCACTCCCCGTCACGAGGGGAGAGGGTGCGGAGGATGCGGAGGAGGAGGGGAATGAGACTGATGTCGGGGAGTGCTATGGAGGATGAGGCAATCTTGCGGGTGGGGAGGGCAATGGTGTCTAGATGGGAGGGGGGTGGTGTCTAGGAATGCGGATGCGATGAGCGGTGAAGTAGCCCATCGAATGGGTTGCTTTTTTGCAGCTCGGCGCCTTGGCGACGGGGCGGGGCCCCTGAGCAGGTGCAAGCACAAGAACCGATGTGTAGCGCACTGCAAAAGCTAGAAGCAGTCGGTGCGAGGCGGACCGCGAGCGTCTGCGAACGAACGCCCTAATCAGAACTGTCGTCCTCAGCGCCCTCAGGGGCACTCTCTTCCTCGGGGTAGACCTGGGTCTCGGTGTTCGCCTCGGCCTGCTCAGCGGCGTCGCGCTCATCGAGCTGGCGGAAGAGGTCGCAGATCGCCCCGTGGGGCTCCTCGCCAGGATGGGTGGAGCCGCCGCGATGCATCACCATGGGGAGCTCCCCCACGCACCGTTTGCCGTGCACCTGCATGTGCTCGGCCGACGTCACGTCGCAACTGCTGTAGTCCACATCGATGAGCTTGAACGACGTCTCCTCGCCCTTGTCATTGACGAGGTGCTCGTAGCCAGGCGGGGTGCTGCTGGTCAGGGTGAGGGCCGCGACCTGGCCGCTGAGGAAGTAGAAGTCCATCTGCTCCTTCATCTCCGTATTGAGCGAGCCGGCCAGCCTCGACACCAGGGTGCCATGGCGACGAAGGACGCGCTTGTTCCCCGTGCAGTCCTTCTCGCGCTGGGACCGCTTGAGTGACATCACGGCGGAGCCCTCGGCGCGCTGGGATGGATGTCGCAGGCTAGCGAAAGTCGGTTGTGCTCGAGCCACAACACCTACCACTGTCGGAGGGCGTGGGCGGGGACGGGAGCGGAGCACATGGGGGCCCCCACGTGAGCAATCCCATTGGACTGAAAGGGTCTCAGGGGGGCGTTGCAGTGGCGATGCTACGATCCCCATGGGGGCCCGTGCAGCCTGAACAAACCTCAGGGAGGAGGGGGGGGGGCATTGCATGCAACCTGTTTGGCTTGAGCGATCCCCTGGGGGGCCTCGCGAAGCTTGAATGGTCCTCGGGGGAGGGGGTTGTATGGGCAAAGCCAGAAGGGGCCCTTATCAGGAGGCCAGCTGAGCGAAGCTGCGGGGGCCCTCACGCCCGTCGCCATCTGCCCTGATGCAACTAAACCCGAAGGAAACCACGGCGACGACGACGACGACGACGACGCCGCCCCCCTCCACCCACCTCCTCCCCACGTAGGGCCGACGACAAGACGGAGGTGTGACGGCGACGCTCTAGTGTCAGGTCGAGCCTGAGGGTCGAACTGGATAAGCTGCATCTCGCACACGACGCTGTAGAGCTGACGCTAGAAGATCACATGCGTGGCGGCTCGCATCGAAGAGGGGCGCCCGAGCGAGACTGGCGGTGCGCCGCTCGAGCTAGCTGAACACACCTACCGATTGCACGTCAAAAGAATGCGCGCCGAGTCGGCACCTCGCGCGCCGAGACTGCCCCAGCGGGGGCTCCTCAGCTGGGGGCGACGCCTTCGGGGGCTGATGGGGGCGGCGCCGCGGGCGGCCCCGCGGGCGACGTCGCCTTCGCCTTGGGCGCGGGCGATGCCTTGGGGATCGCCGCCGCCGAACCCGCAGGCGAAGCACCGCCAGGCGTAGACGGCGCCCCAGCGCGCTCCAAGACGCCGCGGAACTGGATCGCCCCGTCTGGGTACTCGAAGGGGTCGTTGTTCTGCACGCAGCCGTGCCCAGGGTGCTGGTGGCCGAGGAGCTTCTTCAAATTCTGGGCGAACCCAGTCGGCTCGTCAACGAGAGTCGCCTGGCCCAGGATGCCGTTGTTGATGATTTTCAGGTCGGTCTTGGCCTGCAGGAACTCCCGCGAGCAGCCCAGAGAGATCGTGGCCGTAGTACCAAGCCAGGGGCACACGATCTTGGTGATGTCCGCGCCCTTCGCGAACCAGCCGTAGATGTGGCAATTCTCGGGGGTGAGGTTGGTCAGCCACTTGCCGTGGCCGACGTAGCGCTGCCACAGGACGCTGAACAAGGGGCCCTCGTAGCCAGCGGCGTCGTGGTCCTTGGGGACGTCCGCGTCGTCGCTGATGTCGAGGCCGAACTTGACGTGGCTGGCAACCTGCTTATCCGTCATGACCTCGCCAGCGTAGCCCTCGCCGTATAAGTCCTCCATCGAGTCGATCTGCTTCAGGTGCACGAAGAGCTTCCTCCACATACGCGGCGAGAAGTTCCTGAATTTCTTCACCCTGGGGCCCAGCTTCACGCCAACCTCCCTGCTCAGCATCTGCAGGTTGCGACGCTCAAGGGCCCGCTCGATCTCGCCTCCCTGATCATCGAAGCGATCAGCGGGGCAATGGCCTCGTTCTTGTTGAGCTGCTCCTGGATGTACTTCTCATCGGCCTCCACGCTGTTGCTGAGAAGGTTGTCAACGCCAGCTGCCATTGCGCGAGTGCGAGGCTTCTTGCTGGCGGGGCCTGGGGCCTTCGACAGCGACATGGTCGCTGGCAGGGGTCGGCGGGTCTGGGAGCTCTGGCAGGCGAGCGGCAGAGGTTGCCCACCACAGGAAAGCGAAGCAATGGTTCGGGCCAAAATGGCAACGGCACGGTGGCGACGGGCCCAGCACGTCTCTGGCTCGGGAGGCTCGCCGTAGGGATGCAAGACCACCGATCGGGAGGCTAGTAGGCAAGGGCGCAAGACCATCGGAGAGATATAAATTCAAGGATGCGAAATCACCGCCCAGAGGGCATGCAAGGATGCCAGACCAGAACCGCTGCAAGGATGCGGCCCAAACGCCGGCGCTAAGGTAAGCGCGCCAGTTAAACAGGGAGAAGATGGGTCTTGACCCCCAACAATCCACAGGGTGTAAGGAGGAGGAAGAGGAAGAGGAGGAGGAGGAGGAGGAGGTGGCGGAGGAGGGAAGAGGGAAACACGTCGCATTCGATTGTCAGCACTTTCCTTGCGTGGCGTCTGCATGTCCGCAGCAGATCCTCGCGTACATGCTCCTTCTACTTGTCCTATGCACAGGCGCTGCGTTGCACAAAGTAGCTGCGGTGTACACGTGTACGCCGGCGCTGTAGTGTACGCAAGTACTGTGGTGTACACAGGCGCTGCGTTGCACACGGTTGTTGCGGTGTACGCAGGCGCTGTGGTATACACGCGCGTTGTGGTGCACGCGAGCGCTGGTGTGTACACAGGCGCAGTGGGGCATATCGCCACTTACATGCTGCTCGCTTCGTCGTCGTCGTCGTCGCTCGTCGCTCGTCGCTCGTCGCGTCGCGCGTGCGGGCGCGGCTGCGGTGCCAGAGCCACACGGCGGGGGGGCGATCCCCCGACCCCGTCTATTCGGATCCATCTAGGAGGCCTCTATTTATGAAGCGATCTGGCGATCGAAACGCTGCCGATCGTTCCAGGTTGAACGATCCACGCGGTGTCAGGAACCAACGCGTAGGTCGTCACGGCAGGAACCCGCCGTATTCGTGAGGTTGGTTCTGTCAGGCTGGCCCTAAGGTGGATGATCGGGTTTGGGCGGATCGGGCGAGCGGAGTCTAGGCCTTCCAGGTGGGGTCCGAGTAGATGAGGTCGGGGGATCGCTCCACACCGCCGATGCATCGGCGACTCGGCTCGATGTGGAGCCCTATTTTCTCCACGCCAACGTCACCGATGCTTCGCTGGCGTCGCCGATACATCTCCGATGCGTTCCGCACACCTCGTCTACTCGGACCCAAACAGGGAGGCCTCTACTGACTTGAACTCTAACGGTCAGGCAGAGGTCAGTCGGACCCGCAGGGGGGGAGGAAGGAGGAAGCGGAAGTGTAGACCGATGGGTAGGGCAAACATGGGGGCAGGAGGAGCGTCAGGAGTGGGAAGAGGGAGCGAGAACAGTAAGGTGAAGGGGCAAGAGGGAGAATGCTGAGAAGGCATAGAAGTATGATTCGGATGAGAAGGATAATGCAGTAAAGGGGCGGACAGAGCAGGACATGCGGTCCATTTCTGGACATCTGCTCTTCGTCCCGCATTTGTGCCCCGGAGGCCGCCCAGGCGGGCGAAGGCAGCAGCATCACCACCGAGATAGCCGCTGCCTCCGACTATCCCGAGGCTTTACACATGTTGTGTTGTTGTACGTTGTTGCGTGTGCTCTCTCTCTCTCTCTCTCTCTCTCTCTCTCTTTTTTTCTCCCTCATATTGCTGCGTGCGTCTTTCTATCTGTGTGACTGTGTATATACCGACCGTATCGGCCACACTGGAGGTGATAACGAGGTTGGAGGATGCCATCAGCTATGATTCGGATCTGACGCGCAAGTTAACTCTCGAGTGAACACACATCGGGACAGCACTATTGATTTTTGACGATCTGTCCATGTATGTGTCTAGCGCTTCACGTATGTATCGCATTACCATTACATCACTCGATCTCACTGTCGATATGTCGGGACGGCCATCGGGACAACCATTCTACAGGTCGGGCCATATCTACAGCTGTCTCTACGTATTGCTCTGGCGTGCCTGGTGTTTTCTGCGAGACAGGAAGGGAGGGCGCCGTTGCGACCGTATGTTGCGTCAATGTTCAAGTTGTTTGTGGTGTCCTAATGCCTGGACTCCGCAACAGTTTATGGATCTCGGGCGCCGTCATTCAGGTGTTGACCATAATCTGGTGGCATGAGCCGTCTGGCGTGCCCTGCCCTGGCTGTCCGCCCCTGGGATGCCCCTCGTGCTCGTCAACGCGTGCCCGACGGGTTCGTGGGCCACCGTATCCTGCAAGGGCCTTCGCCTGGGTAACCCTTCGCAGGCGCCGAGGGATCGGCAGATGATCAGTAGCACACCAGACCACGATAAGAACGATGATAATTACAGTCGGGATAGTTCAGATACCTTGGAGATGCCTCTCGTATTGGCCCGACGAGACGATCTGGACTCTAGCTCGGGCCCGCAGTTGGGCTTCGGGCAGACATTCGAGGAAGCTGCTGGGCTTGCCATCCTGGCGGCGGTTGCTCAGAGGACGGCGGGGATTTACCTGGCGCTCGAGGCCGACGGAATTCGCCGCGCTGAGCTCCTTGCTGGCCGATCGTGGGTCGCGAACGGCTCGGCTTGGACGGCCCGGAGGCAGGAGGCGCTGCTGCTGGAGGTGCTGCTGATGCCGCCTGCAGCTGGGCTGGAGGTGCCGCTGTTCTGCCTGGCGAGGGGCGTGGCCGAGGGCCTGGTCCGGGGGTCGCGGTTGGAGGTGCTGCTGCCACCATACCCACGGGCGCCTGTGCGCCTGCGGCGGCGGGGGGAGCTCTGGCAGCGACTGCTGGCTTGTCGTTTTCTGCAGCTTCTAATAGTTCAGATTGTGTGTCATGACGAAGTCGACCGACTTGCGGTGCCGCGCGACGTTGGCGACTTTCGACAGGACCGAACAGATGTGCAACAATGTGGGTTTCCCGATGGCCGACCACGACTGGCTTGGCATCCGTCGCGTCTCGATGAGCCTCTCGCTACACGCTTCGATGTTCGCTAGACTGGCGTGGAGTGGGGCTTCGATGTTCGAGAGACGGGGGCCGCGCTGCAGAGAGACGTTCCCATGATGCGCATTCGGCTTCGGGAGGCCGTGTTTGGGCTCGGGCAGTTCTGAAACCATTATCACCTGGTGATCGATGACTACGGGGTCGCGGATCTCGAGAGCATCCTGGGAATGATCGACACTTGTGAGGGCTGGGAGCAGGAGAGCCTTCTCGACCTGGTCGGGACAGAGATCTTGATGAGGCCCGCGCGGATGTACAAGTACGTGCGCGCCATGGGGGCCAAAGTGCCCTTGGGTGCGGTCTGTCGGTCTTCGGAGGGGGACAAGAACAAGAAGGACCTTGCGCACGGCGGAGGGTTCTCGAAGTTGGACTCCTTGAGCGAGGTTTTCGCCAACATAGGCACGTCGCAGGACCTTGGCAGGATGATGGCGTGTCGAAGCCTGCCGAATCACGTGTCTGACAGAATGGAGAGGGGCGCGGATATCCTCTAGTCGCTGCGAGGTGCGAAAGAGGCCCACCGCGCCCTCTCGGGTCAATGGGAGTGACCTCGGACGCGGCTTCCCTCGACCCGTCCGAGATGCAGCAGAGGGCGACTCCAGCCTCCCCGTCTGGAGCCTGCGATGTACGCATGGACTCGTGCTCTTCTTCGCCGGGGCGGTCGACGGCGTGACATCTCCCGATCCCTTATTACCCCTGTCCTTCGTCTACCTCCAAGAACCTTCAGAGCGATGCGGTTTTTTCTTGGTCAGCTGAGCGGCGGCATAAGAAACGCCACCCCAGGAGTGATATGGTGAATGAGATGGGCGAGACGCTCAATGACATGTACCTTGGTGGCGACGGCCCGCGAGACCTTCCTCGGCGCGGCGCCGATCGGCCGTTGCTAGCTGTCCACGCCGAAGTCCATCGGGAGCTGGAAGAGGCGACGCGCCGCTTCGGAGTGCGCCCCGCTGACCTCGACGGCCCAGGAGCCCTTGCGGGGCTTCGGCTGTCTACGCCACCACGGGGGGGGGGTCATACTAAGGATTTGCAACGTCGCTAACATCGCCACCGTCATCATCGCCGTCGTCACGCCGCCAGCAGCTGTCATCATCGTCATATCATCATGACAATCATCGTCATCATCATCATCATCATCCTCAGAGGTTTCGGCTCTCGGACGCGACCAGTTCGCTTTCCGCGCCCCTCCCCCCCCCCCCCCCCCCCGAGCCGCGAGCAGCCGCCATGGGCAAGAGAGCAGCTGAGGCGGCGCAAACTTGCCCCTCAGAACCCCCTCGAGGCCCCGAGTATGTTCCCTCCCTTCTTTCCCTCCTTGCCCTCCTCCGCAGCCTATGGCCTAGGCGCAGCGCCCGAGGATCCGCGTTGCGCTATCTGGGCGAGAAACGGTGACCCGCTCGACGCGTCGACTTGACGCCCCCCCCTCATCTGTTCCTTGACGGAGCACAGTGGTCAGCGGAGCGATGTCGGAGGCGCTGCGAGCGGCATTGGGAATCGCCGGAGTCAATCGCGCGGTCCCGGGACACGCGCCTGGAGAGGAGCAGGAGCAGGCCCCGCTGGGGCCAGAGCAGATCAGTGAAGATGCGGAGACGAACATCCCGCATAACGGACGCTGGGTCTGGGTGGCCGATAACACAGAGTGGACGGAGGGCGACTCTTGGGGCCACCATAAGAACGACGCTTGGTACAACGGCGTTCGGAAGGCGTGGGGTGACTCCTGGGAACAGCCCAAGTGGCACTACTCATCATCCCGGAGATCTTCCGAGGACGCTCCAAACAGAGATTTCGGGGCACCTCCAGCGTGGATGGGATTTGAGCGCCTAGATGTGCATAAGTCCAACGCGCGCGCATGGGTCAAGATAGCGGGTCTTCGAGGAGAAACGCGGGCAGGGCGTATCTTAGAGACTTCTCCGGTCGACCTGCAGCTCAAATTCAATCGACTCGACGACGGCGACGGAGTGGAGGCTCTTCTGTCTCACCTGGCCTTCCTGAATGGCGAGGGGGCCGGGGGCCAGGGGCGCAGCGCACGTGGCGCGGCGCTTTTGGACTTCGCGATTCGCAAGACAGAGACCCTCGCGGACTACGCGCCGCGACGGGGCGCTCAACTGTTGGAGGCTCAGCGGCGCAATCTGACCCTCTCAGACAATGTGGCCTCGCGCTTCCTGGAAGAAGGGGCCCAGCTTACAGCCCAGAATCGAATCAACCTCAAGACCCCGGCAGGCGGGAAGGACGATGGCGCATCAATCAGAGCCGCCCTGCTGAAGATGGACGCGAAAGACAGGCCCATTTTGCCCTGCCAACGCGTACCGGTTCAGAAGACATTCCAGATGGAGGCCGAGACGACGTCGGACGCAGGGGCGACGGGGTCAGAAGAAGCAGCCCCTCCTCCCGAGCTCGACAGCTACATGACGGATCTGGGCGACCCCCTGGAGCTTCCGGAGGAGGACGTAGACGCCCTGCTCACGACACTAGAAGAACAGGACTTGGGCGAGAAGGAGGTACTCATGAGATTCGCCGCGGTACTAGAAGATCGTTTAGGACCAGAACGTCGTCGTACATGGCACGGGGCACGTCGCGTGGAGGCAGCTAAGCGAGTTGACAGGGATTTCTTCGATCGACGCTCAGCATCAAAACCAGGATCCAAGAGACTTCTCATGACCGGCGTGAAGAAGAGAACGCGATGCGCCAACTGCGGAGATCGAGGACACTGGGCAGAGACGTGCAAGCGACCATTTCGATCCAAGGCAGACCGCCTTGCCTGCGAGAAGACGCCGGGAGGCAAGAAGAGCGCGCAGGGGAGCTTCTTCGTGGACCTGCGGCCCGACGACGAGAGCTTCACGGGCATCGCGGTCGAGGACCTGAATGCCATGGTGAAGACATTGGCTGGATGCATGGACAGGCCAGGCCTCTCGCTGAAGTGCATGGGCGACCGCGCGCTCGCGGGCGCGGCCGCGGCGCCGGACGGCCGCGGCGCAGGCGCTCATCGGAGACCAGGACTTGGAGCGCATGATCGAGGCCTTCCAGAAGCGCGGGTTCAGGATCCCGGTCAAGCGCGGCCCGATTCCCAGCATGGTCGCCAGCGGCGTCGGGGGCAAGGTGGAGCCCGTGGGCCGCGCCTGGGTTCCAGTGAGCTTGCTGAGGTGCGGGATCGTGGAGTTCCTGATCCTCCCAGGCCGCTGCCCTCCTCTCTTTCCAGCTCGACTGCTGGAAGCCCTTCGCGCCGTCGTGGATCTCGCCAACGATGAGCTGATCCTGGGGGCCCAGGACAAGGCTCGCTTCCCGCTCGTGCGCCACCCCGCTGGCCACCGTTTGGTCTCCTTGGTCCAGTGCGTGCCCGAGGAGTTCGTGGTGGACCCGGACATCATTCGCCGGATCCCCGAGGAATGCCGCCGGGACTGAGAGCGGGGCTGGGTGGGAGAGGCGAGTAGGAGCTTGCAGTTATGCCCCTTCCCCTCTCTCCTGACTCGTTGGGGTGTTGAGCGTGATTGGGGATCTCTTGGGAATCTGAGGGAACGCCGCCCATCTGAGTTCCCCAGCTCCGTAGACATCATGGCTCGAGTCCCGAGCATCCGAGCTCACGAGGCTCGCGGCCACCATGGTCAA